AACGACTAGAAAACTCAGTAGCGAGGCCAGGTCTGTCTCTAGCTGGAGAAACAAAAGCCTGACCACCGAAGTCATCGGCAGCCATCCAGGATCTCACAATGTGTGTGACGCGACTGTGATTGCTACTCCAATGGAAGTTGATGAATGGGTGCACGTCAAAAATTAGAAGCAATCTAATTTTGTTAAAGGGAAGCCAGTCCCCCAGATTGTAGCCGGAAATTCGAAGGCTGGTCGTAGCGACATGTCAGTTGTCTTTCACAGAGTCAAGGAGAGTAAACGTTCAAAGCCTAGGACTCGTTTTGAACGTGACAGTGATTTGATAAAAAAGCCACTAAATCAGCTAATGCCTCGGGATATCTCCGAAGTTATCTTGCTAGGTTTATAGAAAATGTAGCAGACTGAACGCGAAATAGAATCAAACCAGGTTGCTAAAAGTAGTTTTAAAATCTCCCGATGAAACAGACTCAATATTACGGAATAGACATAAACTAAAGGGGTCAGGAGTTTTTGTCCGTAAAGACTTGCCGCTCGCGGACCGTATGAACAGACGAGAAGTTGAAAAAACGAAAACAAAGGTTAGATGCTGGCGAGGAGGACCTGAAATTTGTAAATTTTCGGGTTATGAGGCTTCGACAGAGAGTCATGCCGAGGCCACTCCGGGCTCAGCACGAAGTCATTTAAATGAGCTCCGGATCTGATACACAAATGCCCGGATTTCGCTGAACAAATGATCGTAGCTAGGCGTACAGGTAGACTTGATCAAGCCGAATTTAGTCGCAGTAACAGAAACTTAGCTAACGCAGTCTGTTGACGGTAGGGAACTTAATTTTGAATGTTTCGCATTAGTAAGAGCCGACAGAATCCGGAAGTTTAAAGAAGGAATAGCTCTACTCTTAAGGAATACTACCCCATCTACCATTATCGATAATGTTTTCCATGAGAGTGGAACGCATGAATTAGTTTGTTGCCGCTTGAAATAAGAAGCACAAGAGCTGCTGATTAGTTTGGTCTACTGCAGTTTAAACTGTAAGGTGAATCAGGCCTTGCTAGACGGTCTCAATAATTGGTCACAAAGTGGTCAGTGTTTAATCTTAGGAGACTTTAATGCAACTACGGTAGACTGAAAACTGAGATGTCAAAAAATTCTAACAGGAACTAATTGATGCGGTTATTACATGCACCCTGGTGCAACATGTGAAAGAAGTACCTGGGTAGGACCCTCACTTCGAATCGTCCTTACTCGATCTCACAATGACTAATTATGAGTGTGGCATCACGAACCTCTAATGTATGCCACTCTAGGTAAAAGTGACCATGCGGTTCTAATCTTTGATCTCCATATAGTTGTCAAAAACGAGCACGCGTCAGCCCAACTTAGACCAAATGTTTGGAAAGCAAATATACAGGGTATTGTGCTCTCGAGATCGTCAATGGATCGGTCAACAGAACCAGAGTCTCCCATTGAAACGGCCTGGGGTGTATTTAGAAACTTGTACTTAAAAGTCCCTGCACTGCTCACCCCTTAGACTACACTAAGAGGTACGGGAAACCCCCCAAAGTGGTCCAGTAAAGAGCTTTGCACCCTTTCTCGTAAGAGGAGAGGAATGTTCGGAAGATTTAGGTCACTGGATACTGACGAGACAAAATCTTGATATTGAGAAGCTCGAAATGTTTGTGCCTCGATCCTCCGTAAGTCTAGAAGGTTGTACGAGGAAAAACTTGTTATGGAACCCGTGATGTTGATGCATCCTTAAAGAACTGAAGTTATCTATAGACATAGCCTACAATGACTTCAGCTAAGCTATTGACAAAGATCCTCACAACCGGCTATTACATAAGCTAAGCAATATCGTGGTTGAAGGCAGTTTATTAATGTGGATAAAAGACTTCTTAGTTGGGCACCAACAAGGAGTATCAGTGAACTAAAAGTTGTCTAACTGGGAAACTGTACTTAGCACAATGTCTCGAAGTACAGTTTTGGAGCCAGTGCTGTTTCTCTTGTATGTAAATGATTTTCCTCGTCTCCTATCATCATCGGTTTTGTTATATGCTGAGGATTTCAAGATATGAAGAGCGATAAGAAGTAACGGTGATAGCTTAGAACTTCAAAATGACCTGGAGAAATTATCTAAACGATATCAAACTTCGCAGTTGCAGATAAATGCTTCCAAGTGCACCGTGATGTATATTGGTCATCAAGGTACAAATACGTCGTACACGATGAACGACATTGAGCTACCTGCTGTCTGAACACACAAAGACTTAAAACCCACCGCACATTGTAGTACAATAGCCACCAAAGATTTCAGAACCCTATAATCAATACGTAGGGCCAATAGCCATGTCGATGCTAAAACCTTTTTTATTTTGTATACAGTATTAGTGCTTCCTAAACTTGATTACTGCGAAGATGGCACAGGTAATCCATGTTTGACAACGCTTTAACCAGTAACACCTTCTAATATGAAGCGTACCCACCAAGAGAAATCAAAAGACAGACTCGAGGAGATGGGAAGATATATTTGATGTGATATCAATATATCGAGAATCGTCTGATCTAATCTGGCTAGCGATTGCAGTAGATGTTGAGCACGGCGTTTCCACTCGTGATCTGGTGCGGATGCATGACAGAGGGCCTTCAGCTAGGTGAGTCCACTAAAACATGTGGTCAGCATCCAATGTCGAAAACTTACAGAGCTATTTATTTTGAGGGTTTATTTACCGCTACAACTGCATGCAAGCAGCTAGCCCCTTCCTGAAAAGAGACAGTGAGTTGTTGGAAGGGTTCAAAGGATCGCAAGTAAACTGATTTCGGGAAAAGCAGAGCTCTCGTATGATGCTCGAATGGCTAAACTAAATCTGTTTCCAGAAGCTACGTGATCACAGTTTTCAAATTACTTGGTGATAAATTTGCGTCTGATGTGACCCTACTTTTCTTATCTTCCAATATGCGGGATTCACGAGGACATTAATAAAGTTTACAAGCCCAGAGCAAATTACTTGTCGGCTGACTATCGACTTTCCCATAGAATTACCTACAAGTGGAATTCATTAGATTCAGATTTGTGTAGTAAGGACAAAAGGCCTACGGCCTATGTTAGTCCTTTTCTAATATGCTTCTTTGAGTGTCCAGTCTTCTCTTGAAAGAGTCAATTGAAGGTGCGGACACCACTGCTTCAGGCAGCAGGTTCCAAGTATTGATGACTCGGTGTGAAAACCTGTATGCCACGGGTATTTTGTTCGTTCTTGGCTTTTCTACTCGCCTGCTATGTCCTCTGAGGTGTCCTGATCTAGTGGGAAGAATGAGAGAGAATAAGTCAGGTCCGAAATCATTTCTCAATATTCTGTACATCAAAATTATATCACTTAGTCTGCGATAGGACAGAGTAAAGAGGTTCAGTTTTTCAAGCCTCTCTTTATGTGATGAACCCCGGAGTTCCGGAATTGCACGCGTAGCTGCTCTCTGTACTTTTCCTAGTATGTCTGAGTCACCTTTTAAACAGGGGCTTGCAGTCTGAACGCAGTTCCCTAACTTAGTTCTCACTAAGAATGTGTACACTGTGGTGAACATGGTAGTATTTAACTTAGTGAATGTCCTTTTTGGAGCCCAGAGGGTTCGAAACCCCTTAACTGCGACCTCCCGGCAATCGGTCGTCGTCTTAAGATCATTACTCACTGTCACCCCTAGATCCTTATGAGACCAGACTACGGGTAATGACACATCCCCTATGTTGTACGTATTAACCTTTGAATCCCCCAAGTGCATGTAGACACACTTTTCCGAGTTGATAGGCATTAGCCACTCTTTAGACCAGTTTATCATATTATTTAAGTCCGCCTGAAGAGTAAATGCGTCTGGGTCTCCAGTTATTACTCGCCAAATTTTTACATCGTCAGCGTATAATAACATTGGAGACTGTACTATACTTGTAAGATCATTAACGTACATTGTAAAAAGTAAAGGACCTAGGACGGAACCTTGGGGTACTCCACTAAGTACTGGTCTCCAGATGCAGCACTTGGAATTGATTCTTACTTTTTGCCTACGACCTACTAAGAAATCTTTAATCCATTTTAAAAGAGGTTCGGTAATACCAAGGTTTGCCAACTTCAATAGCAGTCTATTAGTTGGCACCTTGTCAAAAGCCTTACTGAAGTCTATGTAGACAACATCCACTGAGTTTCCGTTGTCTAGCGCAATAATCCAGAACTCCCTTGCTATAAGGAGGTTCGTTGTACAGGATAGACCCTTTCTAAAACCATGTTGTGCCATGTTCAGCAAGTTATTGGTTTCCATAAATGCCATTATGATCCGTTTGATTATTCTTTCCAGTATTTTAATTACCACACTGGTGAGGCTTACGGGTCTGTAATTCTATGGAACTTGTCGTGAACCTGTTTTATGTATGGGAGTGACGATTGCGTCCTTCCAGTCCATAGGTAACTCAACACGTGACTGAAGCTCCATCTATCAAAAGAGAGTTGGATCGATCGAGAGACCATCATTTTCAGGACTAACACAGGTCACCTTGCCTCCTGTCCTAACTGAAAGGAAACTGAGATGATCTTGAATCTCTTGTGAGGTGATTTACTAATGGCTTATAGTATTCTTAACACTTCTGGACATCCTCTTAAACACCTACTTAAGCTTAGTTCGAATAATAACCTAAGGGGTAACACCCAGAAACTGGAAACACAACATAGCAAGACGGAATGTAGACACAACTTCTACCCCTTAAGAGTTGTCAAAAGCTGGAATTCGCTGCCGGCCGAGCTAGTCCAAGCGACTTCTCAGGAGTCCTTCAAGAGGCAGCTTGACCTATTCTTAAGGACCAAGGACAGCATCACACTATGATTTACCAATTTCTTCTCCTTTTTTATTGTTAACATACCTAGGTCCCTGCCTGGAGGATTTGGTGATCCCCTGCTACTAGACACGGAAGCCTGTTAAGCGAAAGCTTCTTCTATTCCGTCCACAACAATTTGAACCATTTGAACCATTTTAGCGGGTAGATTGGTTAGTTGCGTTGTGTGCACCCATGTGCAAGTATTTCTTAGCTTATTATGTACTTTGTTTCGCCATCTCTGTTTCTCCATTACTATCAGAAGAAAGCACCAAATACAACCTTCTCATCAAGGAACGTGCGGTTCTTGATAAGGTAGTATCTCTTTTGTTACCGTGTATCTGTTCAGTTGGATGATGCTGGAGTTAATGTATTTTCAAAGTCTGGTCAGAAGTTCTCTTGTTCATGGGGTACAGACAGTGGCATAAAACCTGATAACGCCACTTCACAACTGTCCAGCAGCGTCGTACATTCACTACTGTCTATGTTTAGTGCGTTTGATTGTCTAAGAGTGGTTAGTGCTATATTTATTTCACATGTATTTGACGTCTCTAGAAAAAAGGTTGGTGGACATACGAGTTTTGTTTCCGAAAGTATGTCGCCCAGTATCATGACGAGTCTAAGGAAACGTCTAAGACGTTTCTCGGACTTTTCGAGTCGGAATTTGACTGGGACAATTCTTCAGAGGTATTTCTCTCACTTCATACATTACCTTATAAACTATTCAGAAACCCAAATACCATAGCCAGTTTTATTCAAATGGAAGTATTTGTGATTTAACAAATATGCCTCGGATAACAGAAGTGCAGTTTGTCTGTGCTGATTCACGAACGTTTCATATTTTATCTGTTGAAGAACCTGAATCCTGTGTCTATCTCTTAAAAATATCAACTCCGAGTTTATGTGAAAACTCGCATTTTGCCTCTCAGTTTTCGACCAAACCGCATGATATTACCTGTCACCCAACTCTCAGCGGACCGGATTACTATCGCTATGATGCTTGTAAGTTCATGTTATAATTCTCCTGTTCATATATGATCAGCTATATGTCTTTTATTGGATATTTCCAACGAACAAGAGTGATGTGTTTTTCAGGTATTCAAGAAATCAACGAGACTATAATTTATGGACGAACCAATCAGATTTAGGATAACAGGTCTTGGATTTCGGAGCAAAGTTCATTAGCCTATTTGTCTAAATAGCGTCTCGGCATTTTAGCTGATTTCGGTTAGTGATGAAAACCATAAATCTAATTCCTAACCATGAATTGTAAACCATAATCTTTATCCTTCAAATTGCTTTATAACCCTCATTTAGCCCTAGTGCGCAGGTAAACATTTCCAAGGTCACGTTAGCGTCACTCAAAGGTTGTCCATAAATTAAAGTCTCACCGAAAAATCGAAAAGTGGACAAAATGATCACCGTACCGATCAGTTTTAATTACACTTTAAACGTCTATCTTCGCTCTTTTACCGAGAACTCTGCACCACAAAGGTATGAGCTGGGATTTTCGTACAACGACTAAATGGGCCACCGTACCAGGAGTTTAAAGTGGTAGACCTTCGCTACTGTTGTCCGCACCAGGAGGCCACACATATATTTAATTTGACAAACTCAATGGCATGTGACGCAATCGTTTTCATGTCTTTTAGGTTTGTGATTAAGCATGGACCTTGTTTTCTCCCTGATAATGACCTTTGCTGTTTAATACGTCTTGTTAATAGCTGATTTAAGCCTTTGTCTCAACAGAAGGCTGTTTGAATAAAGTTTGAACGGCAAGGTGATGTAGACACGCCATTTTTTGCCAAGGCTATAGTCAATCTTGCAATACCATCTATTTGTGAATTTTAGGGGATGTGGCAACTCGAACTGATGTACGTACGTACGAAGTTCTACGTTGTTACTGACTGACTGAGGGGATAGCTAATATATCACATAGTTCTGAATCTTCGTCTTCTTATTACACTATCCAAATTTATCAAAAGGACTAATTGCATAAACCTTTATCTGGTAAATAAGTTACACAAAATACATTACCACGTCAATGGTCAACCTGATCACTGTTATGTTTACGCTTCATATCATCACTAAGTGTTGCCACTAAAAATCTATTATCATACATTGGCCTCAATTCTTGACTTTCGTTTGTACAGTGAGACGTTCGTTTTAGATGTCAGGTCATTGAAAGCTTTCGGAAAATAAATAAAATCGATTGATGTTGATCAGTGCTATAAGCCGTTGTTTTTATGTACTGATGGTATTTTAGGTGGTTCACTCCTTGACATTGCATGGTTTCTTATTTGCTTTTGTCCAGAAACAATCGGTCAACTGTCAGAATATTGCCACTATCGCTAATATTTTCTTGTAGGCTGTAATTTCATTAACATATGGACTATTACAAAAGGTGGTATCTTATGTTGTTTGTATGTGTAACTTTTTAGAAAACTTATTCCCACTTATCAATGTTTTTTTATATGCTTCAGTTTGCCATTGGGTGCTACGACTTCTATATCATATACATATGTTGTGTGGAGTGGTGGCCTAGTAGTCAAGTCGTTTAACTTTCAGTCACTAGGACCCAGGTTCGGACCTCGTTTTGTCCACTTCGCTTCGGGAAGTCGGATAGTATCATTAGTCTTTACACTTTAAGATTGACTCATACTCGAATACATGGTGAATTAATTAATTTTATTTGGTCACGTTTTATTCTTTTACTCTTGTGTGTAGTAAATAAAGCAAGGGATCCAATTCTGCAGTCGTCCTTAGCTAATATGTCACAAACTTTCAGTTTGCCTTCGAAGCGTCTATATACCAACAAAAATATGTATAATGTAAGTTTGTTAGCAGTTAGTTAACCTATCCTATCATTTAAGTTTCTGAGTGTTTCTTTATTAGTACTTTGTTAGTACTCCTGTTTCGGTTTCGTATATTTTAGGGAATGGGTTAGATATTTAAGCGAATCGGATTTTAATGTTAATTTTTGAATGTGGTTTTTAAAGGCAGTGCTTTCTTCATTCGGCTGTAATCCACGACTTTGGAACCTGTTGAGAAACCCGCTTGCTAACTACAATCCACTTTTAGTTTGTAGATGCTGAATCAGTGCCACAGTTTGATGCACTTAGGATAGAGGGATTTTTAACCTGCAACTATAGTTATCAGTTAATCCATCACGTGGTTTGTTGGTTTCTTTTTGTATAAGCTAACCACTAAGCAATTTGTTTTGTTACTTTTCAGAATTACAGCAGAAATCATCTCGTCAGCAAGAAAACTGTTTTCACCTTATCTATTAAGAACGTGATTAAATCTTTTGTTTTATGTAGGTAGGCTTATGAGTGTGTATAACGTAATGGCTAGACAGGGAATGACATAGTCTGTTCCTTGAGTGTTGATGCATTATCTGACACCAAGATAAGGTGAACAGTGACTTATTTACTCAGCAATTTGATTCAGTATAAATGGATGTGATTGGTACAACAGTTTTCTTCATTTATTTGAGACACCAGTAATATAATACGCTATTTGAAAACCGAGTCCGAATCGGTTGTAAAAATATAGACCCAACAATTTCTGCGCTCATCCGACTTCAAACCAGTCTTCCTGAATTTTCCAGCAGATTGTTGTATTTTTTTCATTGGATTTCACTCCTGACACGTTATCTGTTAATTAATTAATTTATTTGGACACATGAATATTAATACAAAGGGGCATTGAATACATATGCGCCATACAAGTCACTTGATTTGTGTGTGGACTATGATACTACCCGGGTGCCCAGACCGAAACAAGTGGCCTACTTAGGGGTCACACCCAGAAACTTTGACTTGAATGTCTAATCCACAAGGCAGTGGAGCAACGTCGGGAGACGCAGTCCCATGGTAGCCGGTGACCAATAATAGGTTTATACGCTTTCTGTTCCTTCAGGATCCTGAAGTTCATGTGCACGATTGGTTTGGAATCCGGGTTTTCCAACTCCCCTAGGTGGATCTGCCATACCCACCAAGGCGCCGAAAATTCGCTTTTCCTCCTCTCAATTTCGTAAACAACACCCCCACCGCGATAAGGCAGTGAGTAGGACATTCTTAGCAGTAGCTGTATACGCGTGGCCATGTGAGGGCATTTTGAGAAGGCGAGCTGATTCTGCCAACCCTCAAGCACACCAGAGCATTTGGGGGCACTCTCGGCTGTACTAGGGCATTTGGGAGTATCTATTAGTTCCCTTGCCATTTAAGTCACTGGTGTAACATGGTTTCAAATTTTAATGAGATATGAAGCTTTTGAGAGTTGAAGAAACTTCAAAAACTCATATTAGTACCCTTTCGGTAACATATATGCATACACATACATACTTGAGAGTCCTAGTTTTTCATGTCGTTTCACATAAACTGTAAAATATCGTGGGGGGGGGGAAAGTTTTTCACACTATATTTTCTAACTAGTGAATAAACGTTACAAGTAAATAAATTTTTTAGTTCACTGTCAAACTTTATCCGAACGTCGTTCCGTGCCTCTTTTATCGATATATTAGAGCAGTTTACAATTCAGTACTTTTTCTCCACGAGTTCATTAAGTTGTCGCATTCTTCGTGTTGATCTCCAAATTATGTCTTATTTTGCAGAAAATTCGTAACAACCGACGCAGGCGCAAATTGAAATTTCTCAGGCGCTCTACAGGAATGTTCCTTAGATCTTTGAAAAGATTATCAGTTCTCTACAAAAAGCAAAACCTTAAATCTTCATGGAGTTCCCATCCTATATCTTTGTTACCTACAAATCCAGCCGGTTTATATAAGCTATGGCTCCATATCGGTTCGCTTAGTAGTGACCTCTCAAATTTTACATCTGTTCTATTAAGGAGGAATGAAAGTGAGTATGTGTACTTTTTTGCTCTTTTGGAACATGAGTATATCTGTGATGGTGGGCATGACATTTTATTGTATTTGTTGGTCTGAATACCTTCATTAACATATGGCTAATATAAAAATCCTATTTTTTTTCCCTAGCGCTAACTGTCACAGGAATATCATTATAAATTCTTAATAAATGATCACATAATAAAGAAATTAAGTTGTCCAAAAGAGAACATCCTACCGTTTCAAGTATATCAGGTCTAATCTGAGAAATTACAAAATAATATTCACAGTAATTGTCAGTTATCGTTAAACGAATTCAACTGAAGACTGTTATTTCCATAGTATATATCTGGACTCATATCACACCATACTGGCCGCAGAAAAATCCAACCTTTTCGAGTTCAGTTCAAAAGTTAAGGTTCTGTCTAGGACAGAACTATCCAAGTACTTAGTCTACCATGTAAGGAATGTTTTTTCTGGAGTAGCTTGGTAAGATTCTTAGTCTTTTCTAAAAACAGTAGCGACGTCTGTTAACAATTTGAACTAAAAGGTTTGAAAAGATCACTGTATTTCAACAACCTCTACTAAATAGATTCGTAGAATGTTATCCTGTCACGTTCGAAGAACAATTAAGAGTGAAAAAACTTAACCAAACAGGCAAGAAGTTTACCTAATGATCATGAGCAGTGATGGGCAACAAAAGCAAAAGATATGGAAAGGGCAGTGGTAATTGATAGCACTAGACAATTGTTCAGATTCATGAAGGAAATATGCATTGAGAAGCCAGGTATCGGTGAGACTCTAGGAATAAGATGAAATGGCCATCCGTTTTCAGCCAAAGAAATTGGAACAACGAGCAGAGCAGGGGCGATTTAACTGGCCTCCAGCTACTCTTCAGTTACCTCTCATTCTTATCCAGCTCGAGCGTGACATGACGAGGCAATAATTAAGCCTAATAGTTAAGCTTTAGTTATTGTTACGTACTTGGTCTGTGTGACCACGACTCTGTGCTTAATATTCAGAGGAGGAGAGAGGTACAGGATCGTCTCGGCCTAGTTTACGAACTGGATATGATAGGTTACTTAGTACAATTTTGAGACTTGCATCAAGTGAGTTTGATTATGACTGAATAACCTTGAAGACAGAAGAAAGCAACCCTACCACTAACCTGTGACTCGGTTGACTGACAAGTAGAGGTAGATAGTCTGGCTGAAACTATTGTCCGGTTTATTCCGGATTCATACCAACCCAAAAAGGCGCATGAATAATATATGACTGAGGAGATTACAATGGATAAAGAACTAGTAAAATACAATGTCCAAACTAGGCCATCAGAGTAGGTACATGAAATGCAAGTTACGTTTAAATCACTAGTTTTGGGTTAGAAAAGAATATGGCAGTGATTTATACATGAAACAGCTTATGACTCACAGAATAAACTAGGAACAAAACTAGATGTTAGTAATGTGCAGATCTCGAATCAAGCGTGACAGCGTCCCTGAAATAGCTTCTGTTCTTTGTCATGGCTTCTTTATTTGTCGATTCATATTACTTCTACTGAAGAGTGGATAACCTATAGTTCGCACATCCTCCAATCGTCTATTTGTTAAATCTGTCATTGGTTGTTGCTAATTCCTTTGATAGTTCCCCATGAGTTGATTCGTTTAAAATTGTTCAGAAAAGTGTGTGACTGTCCTTGGGCACTGAGTTCATGCTCCCAGGCCATCAAGACTACTCATAACCCATTTTTATTTACAGTAGGTATCTTAATAAGAGGTATCCTTCCACGGTGTGGGGAACTGGGAAGTGACGACTGCCTTCATACTCTTAACAACACTCAAGGTCAACTTTTTCATAATCAAGTCCCATCTTCATTACCAGATATTTCTTATACCTACACCATCACTCTTGGTCTGTCCTCGACTTCTTTCACATATGCTGCCAGTACTAACGACTCAAATCCACAAATCCGCCCCCCTAGTTCTCTTGAAATCATGCCTGAAACTACATTTTGGAGCTATCACTGTCCGAACCCGACGTCAAAACAAACAACAGGCGTCACTAACTAAGATCCTAGGATCTCATATTGATGTATACCTTGTCTCTGAAATTCACATATAGTGTCCTAGAGTAGTCATCCACTTGACCGCATCTGGCGGGTATGGAGAGCCAATACTATATACCATTCATGTATATGGAGATGCGACTTCTCATCCTCTTACCTATGTGTGTACCATTAGGTCTAAAAGCAAAACAGAAACTTCTCAACTGGATTCCTATCAACAGTTGCTTATGCACCTTCCATTCCAATAACAGTAAAAACTCGGAAAGGTAGAGACACACCGTTCTCTTCGCCTTTTTTGCCTATGGCTAACTGGAGTTCAAATGAAGTAAAAATAGGTTTTACAGGAAATTTTATGACCCCTTTAAGAATCCCGGTTGCGCAGTAGTCATAGGCTGAGTCAAACTATCAAACACTTGGGTGGGTCTTATAATGTCGCAATCCAATGAACAAATAACGGTGACCGTCTGCCGGAGTTATACTCAGACAACTGATTATTCCTAACAAGTACAAACTTTAATCATACAGTCTAACCTGGCGACCCCCAAACATCAACACAACGTTGGACAAAAATTAGTCACATCATCTCCCATCTTCGGGGCACATCGGTAAAAAATGAACAGTTGCTCACTCTCAGTCCAAGACATTCGATTGATGGACGGAATGTTTACATAAACACGCTAATTGCCCTCCATCTACCCCCCCCCTCAGTTACCCACTATCCCCAAACAATGTGAATGGGAAATTGACGCAATTCCATCCACTCTTGGTGAGATTTAGAAGAGAATGTTTAGTCTAAAATAAGGTAGCGTAGTAAAATATAATGGACTAGCCTAGGATGTGGTGGTCCAATTTTACCAACTTAGTTGATCAAAATACTAGCTGAAGTGTGGAAGCTAGATGTAATCCTATATAACTGTTCTCGATCACTAATCGTTATAGTTTGTAAGAAAGGACCTAAATCCCCTTTCAGTTATCACAAAAGAATCAATTTGGTTAATATAATTTTTAAAATACTAGCCTTTATGATCATTCCACTGTATGTGTGCCGATTTCTACCTCTTTACATCCTATTGTAATGAGTGTGTCCTTGTATCCTATTAAACGATGGTCTCACACTTCGTCAAAATGTCAAACTTTTGACTTTAGCCTGAAACATGAACAGCATCTAAATACCCTACTGGAATCCCATAAAGCTGTTGTTGTGTTGTTAACGAAATTGAGAGGAGGAAAAGCGAATTTTCGGCGCCTTGGTGGGTATGGCAGATCCACCTAGGGGAGTTGGAAAACCCGGATTCCAAACCAATCGTGCACATGAACTTCAGGATCCTGAAGGAACAGAAAGCGTATAAACCTATTATTGGTCACCGGCTACCATGGGACTGCGTCTCCCGACGTTGCTCCACTGCCTTGTGGATTAGACATTCAAGTCAAAGTTTCTGGGTGTGACCCCTAAGTAGGCCACCTGTTTCGGTCTGGGCACCCGGGTAGTATCACAGCTCTCACAAAAAACAATGATAACTACTACTGGCGTCATTCTTATTGTATGGCGCATATGTATGTGATACCCCCTTGTACCAATGTTTATGTGTTCAAATAAATAAATAATATGACCAAAATGGGGGGGTTGTGGAGGTTTTAGTAATTTTTAATAGTTGAATTCAAGAGTTGACCACCATTGAAAACCTGAAAGTGAGAAGCCATCACCAGTCGACTCCAATCCATGTCGGGTAGAGACAGGTATCTACCTCAGATAATAGATGAATGTTTGCGCAAGATCATGGGTCGATTAAAGTTAGACACTAACAAGGCGGGATGCTGGCTCAGTGGCCTAGAAGCTAAGCGTTCGTGCGCGAGACCAAAGGTCCTGAATACGATTCCCTATTACGGGATCGTGAGTGCGCACTGCTGATTGGTCCCATGCTGAGACGAAACGGTCATCCCGTACTTCCAGGTTTTTAATGGTGGTTTAACTTACATTGACTCATGAATTCAACTATTAAAACTAAATAATAAACAGTATCTTCACTAAAACTGCATAGCAACACAAATAATTGAGCTAAGTGGTGTATACTTTCGTTAAGATAAGTTTTTTTCCAGTCAGGCTATCCTATGACACTACGTTCTGGGATGAGAGTGTATTTCCTTATGTCCTTCTATATGTTTAGACATTTTTCATTGATTCTAGAAGTAGTTGAAAAAAAGATCAATTGTTTAGGTTCATCTCCTAGTGATTGGTCGAAGTCATTAACAGATATACTGTATTCTCTTTAATTGTTTATGTCAAACGAAGGTTTCCTTTGAATTTGTGTGTCAATGTTTTCCCTCCTGTCTACGTTTTCCGTGCTTTTCTGTTTTACACCACAATATAATTCTGTTGTGTTTATAACCCTACACAGTAAACAGTGTATCCTTATCTGGTTCCAGTTGAATGACTAATTAATCGTTGTTATAATTTCTCTTATTACGACCCAACTATTCATATTGCTTAGTATTCTTGGATACAAATTCACTCGACAAGTCACCAAATCAGAACACGATTGAACAGGAACGAAATTATATTCCAAATATCAAGGGTATATGTAAGTAGGAATCACAATAAGAGAAACATTAGTATATTTATAGTTTTTACATGAAAAGATTCTAGAGTCTTCTCCAAGTATCGACTAGCGTTGATTGGATAAGAAATAGCTAATCAGCGTGCCCCAATACAATCTTTCACGGAACGTGCTTTAATCCAATCTATGTCCCACTAACAATCGTCGAGTCTCATCTTTATTTTCAGAAGCTTCTATGTACTGACTTAAAAGTAGCTGGGTTCATAATAACAAGCTACTGTTAATTCATCTGATTAATAATCTATCAAATTATTACCATCATTCCTACAATTCTTTAATAATACATTACCTATTTTTGCTTCTAACAACGCAACTGAAAAGATTGTCCTTGGTTTATTGACTTTGGAAATTACTTGGGTCAAATAGATCGCGCCCTTTAAAACGTAAGTGTTTGCATGTGTATTTCATCTACATCTCTATCATTTCTATCTTGTTTCTTTAGTATCTCACCGTCATGTCCCTTTGGACATTGTGAAAGTAGCCATTATTGTAACTAAGGTAAGCTTCCTAAACTACCATACTTTCATTACTTGTTTTATCTATCGCTATCAGTTACCTTTATAACTTTTCACCAATATTTTCTGGCAGGTAATCAGATGTTGGATTTTCAGTTTTGGAATTTTCTGATAATTTGTTGAACGCGATTTTATTTATAAAATGTCGAATTGTTTAATATGTGGCTAAGAATCAGTGACAGTGGGTTGGATGTATTACTGTTTCCTTTAACATACTCCTTTATTTTAAAGATTGAGTTCTACTTTCTATTTTTATTTTGCCATTGCCATTAGTATTATTATTCACACTCGCTTGTTTTTCTTACTGAGATAGTCTAAGTATGTGGATTTGGACCGATACAGATTTGTATCAGGTCCTGGGTTGTTATTGATTGACTAACCGGTTGAATTTACGGATGGAGGATCCAGCTAGAGGAGTCGGAAAATCCTGATTCCAAACCAGTGGTGAACTTAGGCTCCAGTATCCTGAGGGAGTAAAAGGCATATAAACCTATTGTTGGTCACCAGGTACCATGAGACTGCATCTCCTAACGTTTCTCCATTGCCTTATAGATTAAACCTTTAGGTGAAAGTCTCGGGGAGTGGTCCTCTAAGAAAACCACCTATTTCGGTTCGGGCTCCTGGACAGTATTCCAGCCCTCACAGAAATCGAATGATCTGTGTGGTGCATATATATTTGGTGCCTCCTTGTAACAATGTTTATGTGTTTAAATAAATAGATAAATGACTTTAAAGAGGGGAAATAATTAATCCGTTAGGGTTGCAATATTCTGAATTCGATAAGTGGCTCGGACATTTACTACATATGTTGTCTACCCTGATGTGTTATATTGTTAGGAGTTCAAGTAAGTTAAAGAAAGGTTAAATGGTGGAATACCGGAAAACGACACAAATCCACATTTCATTTAATGTTGATGTGACATGTGTAGAGAAATGTACGTCTTTTGTTTGATTTTCATAAGATGTTAGTTATTAGTAATTGGAGACTAAAAGAAATTACTCAAAGTCTAGTACACTGATGTAGATGTTTTCATTCTGTATATTCTTCGTAATAATGTACACGTTATTCCGTTTACATTTCTTTTTTCATCTGCTTTTACTGATCTTCTGAACACTCAAACAATTCGTAAAAGGGATATAAGATTATGGAAATTAAAATGACTAAACTTCAGTTAGTCAGGTACAACATAGGATCAGGCACATATATGCATCGGTTCAAATTGCCACACCTCATCAGCACAACTACACTTTAAAAAAACTAGTAAATATCTAACTGGAATCCTGTGGGGCATCTATCAACTTTTCTTTGTCTGAGTTTACTTCATGTTAAAAAGGTTTCACTAATACAAAGTGTTTAGTCTTCGATTTCGAATTTCTCTTTATCTGGAATCATTTTTTAAAAGGTTCATTTGTTTAATTCAAATTTTAAGTTGGCAGTTGTTTCACATTATTAAAATTTTCGTCAAAATAGTTACTGAAGTTCTTGTGATTGCCGAAGATCTTAAGACATTTCCCACAGTATAAATGATTTACAATGAACCAATTTTTCTGAAGTAAACTGCAAGAATTTACAATTGTAGATTTCTTAGTTTGTCATTAAATGTGGTTGCTCATTTCTTATTTTAAGTAGTCTGGCGACATTATCTATTGATTCGCCAGATATTTCTCCTGCTTCGTGAGAATAATTTTCGAACTTTATATGTTCCCAGTTTTTTACGAACTTCGTCAAACACTATTCAGGAGAATAAGGAAACAAGGTGCATACTTTCCCTAACAGATTTCTGTGCAGTTGAAAAGCACTAAAGTGGCATTATTTATCTATAGTTGATGAAATTTTTTATCTTCACCTAAATCGTGTTTGAGTAAATGGTGTTTGACGATCATTTTTACTATTCGTGACTTTACGGTGTAAGTCAGTAACCGGGTTTTGGAACTATAAGTCCAAGTTTTAAATTCTGGCTTCATCTATGGTCAATATTGTATATATGAGTTCCGTTCAATGGTTAAAGTATAATTCCTGCCTAAGTTATTGCATATCTTTTTTTTCCACTATCAAGAGCGTTATTATGGAAGTAGAGGACTATAAACAATTGCTCAATACGTTTCTTACTGCTCCTATGCAAACAGTGGGAATGATGCACCTATTTAATCTCAGTGATGTCCACGAATCTATCAGTCGTATTTGGCGTGAACTATTTAGCTGTACAGGTATATATAATATAATACGCCCGTTTTTTTCAAGTATTATGACATCATTTAAATTCTATTTGGAAGTCCTGCTAGTTTTGTGCTCGTAAAAACGTCAAGGGTTTGGAAGCTCTTTTCTAGTTTCTTACTTCACCCCATCTACCTTTAATATACCATTCATGTCCTTTCGTACATGTTCAATATTTTATGGAAAGACAGTGTACATAGATTGCGTTTCATTTAGCTGCTTTTAAAATATTTGATATATCCAAGTTTGTTTTTACCGTAATATGGGAGACTTGATTGCGTAACCAAGATATATTGTTTGGAAAGTTGTTTCTTTAGGTCCTAAAATAGAAGGAAGGTTGAAGGTAGGGCTAAAAATGATGAGTCTCAGGTTCAAAGGTGAATTTTATACTTCGAACCGTATCACATAATCTGGAGAGTATGATATTTCCTAAGGATTATCTCTAGTTCTATTTTCATATGGAATCTAGAGAGAATCATCTGTCTTACGCTTAGGAGTAATAAGATCAAGAAAAAAACTAGGGAAATTCTAAAGCTCATCATGCAAAGTAGTTCAGAATTTCCGATAGTCTGTGTGCAAACACCCTCAAGCGCGTATCCCTTGGGCTGTGTAGTCACACTCTTATCAATAAGACTATTAGGTTTTTCAGAACAAAACAACTTAGTGTTGGTTGCTGATGAGTGTCGAATACTGATCTGTCAACAATAATCGATTTTATCTTATTTATCAACAACCATCTTCCTTGTTAGCCCCTAAATTTCCTTGCTATTGATTACCATATACTGCCTCTGAATATAGCTGTCTGTAAGTTGAGGATCAATATCTACGGTCGCTTGAAACAACCATTCAAATTACGCGTTGAGGCGTTTGGAACTTACGTCAAACCGGATTACAGGTCTCACTTCCCGAAACTCCAGAATCCTATATCATGGGTGCACATTATGTTTTCAAAATGGATATAAGTATCAGACATGATTGTTTTTGACGTTGTCCTGCAATATAGCAAGTCCTCACTTTAATAAGGATTATTCAAGTTTGTGAGTGGTAGTAGGTAGCGGAAGTAAAAATATGAAAACTGCCTAAAATAGATGTTAACAAACGGTTGTCTACACACCAATAAGGTGTTTTCGAAAACGGCGGTGACTATTTCCGTGAAAAATAGACCAGTGCTATACTAAGTGGAGTCCATTGAAGTGTGTTAGTTTAAGTGTTAATCAACTACCCTCGATAACCTAAGTAAGTTGTTTAAGGATAGCGATCTTGAAGTATCAGCTAAAGCTTTGGGATTAGATGGAATTCCTTCGGTTTGATCTTGTCCCAGCTTATAGAAAAAAACTGAAGTTCTTTGGTGATAACCATTTAGTAAAATCATTTGCATGAACATCTTTTTGAAGGTCCAAGGCTTAAGAATCATCTAACTCATATTTTCTGCTTTAGAACAAGTTTATGGAAATAAGTGTGTTAAATAGGTTTTTACCTTTCGTTTGGTTTTGGGACACATACATGACTATAACCGAATTCCTTGACATAGAGGGGATATTTCATGGAGTCTGTCGAAAGGTCTTGTGAAATCATCTGTTACTTGAAAACTTCAAGTGCATCACATGATTAAAGACTTTATGCAAAAACCTTGAAATTACTATGAGAGTATATATATATATATATATATATATTTCACAGGTTGAAATCATGAGTCAGTTGAAGCTAGACCACCATTGAAAACCTGGAAGCACTGGACGGCCGTTTCGTCCTGGTATGGGACTCCTCAGCAGCGCGCATCCACGATCCCGCACCACGCGGGGCTCGAACCCATGACCTACTGGCTTCGCGCGCGAGCACTTAACCACTAGACCACTGAGCCGGCATCCAGCGGTGTTAATGTCTAACTTCAACCAATCCACGAAGTTGCGCCACCGTACACCATTGTCTTCAGTGAGTTGTTATCTCACAACAGACCGGTTGAACTCCACTGGTAACGGCTTCTCACTAGAACTCCAGGAGTTTTTCTTGAAGTCAGTCACTAATGAGCAGTTGATTATTATCAGAATGGGTTTTGTGGAGAGTTTTAGAAATTTTACAGGTCTGTTGTGAGATAACAACTCACTGAAGACAATGGTGTACGGTGGCGCAACTTCGTGGATTGGTTGAAGTTAGACATTAACACCGTTGGATGCCGGCTCAGTGGTCTAGTGGTTAAGTGCTCGCGCGCGAAGCCAGTAGGTCATGGGTTCGAGCCCCGCGTGTTGCGGGATCGTGGATGCGCACTGCTGAGGAGTCCCATACCAGGACGAAACGGCCGTCCAGTGCTTCCAGGTTTTCAATGGTGGTCTAGCTTCAACTGACTCATGATTTCAACCTGTGAACTTTCTAAAACTCTCCACAAAACCCATTCTGATATATATATAATCAACTTTTAGCTTTTAATACCTACCTTACGGATCTAATTTAGGATTTTAACAGTTTGTATGTCATTTGATCCAAGTGGCAAGCTTCATATCAATGTCTGTTCGTCCACTTCATGCAGCTGACACGATTGATTTAGGTAGTCAATAGAAGCGCATAAAAGTAATGCACTGACGTAGTTTCATAACCACACCAAATAGATAGCTGGGCTTGAAATGATACGCCTAATCTGTAAGTTACCTTTTGTTTGCGTTCGTCACAGTTCTGCCCTAAACCCTATAAATCATGAGGTCTACTTCATATAATTTACTTTTAATTACTACATGGTGCTAGAGTGTAATTGTCTTACTATGTCCTTACTATATCTTATTAGAGAAATTTTTTTTTAATATTCAGATCCTAATGAGGCTCACACAATGTTATCCACTGTGATCCATGTTTATAAAAAGCATAACTTAGATATACCAACTGTTGAAGATATACCTTTAACCCGTCTACCTACCGAATCGAGAAACAATGCAAAATCTGCATACCTAAAGTATAAGTTAGACTTCACATTTTCAAGTAATAAAGACAACAATATTGAGATCTTACAGTACAATGGAAAGGTGTTGGATAATCCTCTAAGTTATGAAGAATACTCGAAGTTGTTTGATGTAATTAAAAAAGTTGTAGATTTAACCGATCTCTTCCTGGAGACTTCGAAATTATATGTCAAGATACTTTTCTTTCTTCACAAGAAAATAGAGCTTAGTCAGAATATAGAAACCCGACTGAAACAAACGTTTTCCAATATACTTACTGATTCAAATGTCAATGTTGTTGTGATACAAGGTGGTAATCGTATTATGAAAGATAAATATAATCAAGGTGCTACAGATCAATGGGATCTCGATCTTTTGCCATCTCTTAAACAACGGGAGATCATAGAGATTATGCAAAAAGTCGTAACTAACTTAGATCCAGAAATATCGGACGAAGTGGATATAGTTGAAAAACCAGAAAATCAAGGAGGTTTATCTACGTTTTACATTATGGTGAGTTCATAAATATATAATTGGATACAAAATTATTTAGATTCCATTTTACACATTGAGTTATACATATTCATTCAACTGCTTAGTAATTTTAAAGTAGACAATAATAAATAGTTAAAGTAGATGAACCCTATATATCGATGTATGTAAAGACTGAACACTAAACAGTTAATGTTAGCATTTGATAATGTCAGCGGGGTCAAGTCTATGTGTTTAACATTCCACTTGCGTTATTGCTAGTCACATAATGCAGCTTTATCGCAAAAGTTGTAGTCTGATTTTTATATTAGTTTTTTATTATTGGGTGGTTTGATTGAGTTCGTATATACATTCTCTAATATTTTTGTTTTATAGCCTGGTGGACCTAGAAAGAAGGAAGAAAAACGCGTCAGGAAACTTGAACAAAATTATCACTTTACTTTCCACTGAATAGAAGAAATATAGTAACATTGATTTATGGCATAAAATTGTATTTCATCAGTAATCTTTTAGTCACCTGCACTCTTTCATTCTATTTTTCTCAATATCTGTTTTTCTGCATAATCTGTAATAATATACTTCGGAATATGTTAATATTTACATCTGTCGAGTCAGTTTTTTAAACTATGTGCTACTGTTGCTGCTAACACAATATTTTTGTCAGTTAATCTAAGTGTGGTTTTTTATTCACCTATTTTCTTTAAAAAAATTGTTTTATTTTCTTTGTCATACAAATTCGTTCTTCCTCCTTAATGACCTTGTCATATTCGTCTCAGTTTCTTTCTCAAGCTCGCCAATCATCACAACTCTTAATTGGCCATTTTTTTCAAGTGATATGTTCCTATTGGTGTATCTATCATCTATGTGTGTAAATATGTACTATCTCTGAAATGTTGAGTTCAATGTCCTTTTCTAAGAACTATTTTTTTTGAAAACTTAATCAGTATACCGTTCAAAACATTGTATTTCTCAATCGAGTAATAAAGTAAATTTCCATATCTAATCAGATTCATTTAATTTTTCACTAAGCAGCAACTAGTATTCCTGGGGGATTCAACCATCGTCCACTTCTGCACTCCGGTGTGATTTACAGACTCGTGAAGCTTATTTTCGTATATGGTTTATCGTCGTCACGTAATATATTTTCTACAATTCCATTATTTAGAATTATCGTTCCCACTAACTGAGGAGTCACTATCAATAAACCACTCTGAATTCTTTACAGACATTCTTAATCAGAACGTCAATATGTGATGGAATGAGACGGATTCATTGAACTCGTTTCAAATACATTAAGAGATCAATCTATTCGAACCCCATGCTACTATCAAGATGGGACGTTTGTGATTGTTAAATCTTCTCTACCAAGAAACGGAATACAAAGATCAATTAGGTCCTGATAAGATCAATGACGGAATACTAAAAGTTCTAACAATAGGAAATATCTGTTAAATAAACAGTATCTATCCTAACCTAATAACATAGTGGTTATGGTTTGGTGTATGAAGTGATATTATAAGTTTCAGTTAACATATTTAAAAACTGCTGATAAGATCTGAAATTACAACTGAGTTAATGATATGGATTAATATTTACCATTAATTTGGAGTCAAAGAAGACTTAATTAGCGGAGTAGTAATGATCTGTGTAATCGAGATAATATTTTGAGCCTGTATTACATTGACCGATAGATAGGAAAACACGTTTGTTCACAATATTATGTGTTCTTATTTCCAGATACTTCCAAGTCTGACGTCGATTATTCAGTTTTAATTTGAAAATCGTCCTAAATGTCGGTTTAATACGATCAATTGATCATTACCTTCGAAACCGATGGAGTCAACGTTGTAAAGAAATTTACGAAGATTGATTACTGACTTAAATAATCAAACTGAAAAGGAAGTTAGCCTACATTAAAGGCTGGTGTCAATTGGATAGTCCCTGAAAACTAGGAAGTACTGGACAAATATTTTATTCTCATTTGAGGCTTTTCTGAAGTGATTTAGTAATTTACTACTTTTTAAATATTGACTTATTTCACTATGTACTTACAAAATTGATCTTTATTAGAAATGACAGATTTAAAAGCAAAAATTTCAGGGGTTTCTTTATACTAACTCGGATTTACTAGATTCCTTTATTGTTTGGGTACTGTACCTGAAATGAATAATGCTCATAATTTTGAGTAGAATCTTAAATTCAATTTTTAAGTAAATTTCTAGTTGCCTAGCCTTATTAATCAAGGAGATCGATTTATGATTGGAAGCTTATGGTGTACTCAACACCAAGCAATAGGTCTTTCGCTTGTGTGGGATTTTAGTAACACCAGTTCACATAATCGGAAGAACAAATCAGACTGACAATCAATCATTTGGTTTAGCCAAACAGCACATAAACGACTGTTAACGGGGATCCACTCTAACAGTGCTTGTTCCCCCCTCATGCTTAGTGCTATCCCTACTGCCAGTCCACGAGAGCTGGCCGTCGGGTCTCCGTTTTGTCGTGGTGAGGTCAAGTGAATGACCACACTGGAATCCTGTATGCGTGTTTCAGAGACACAGCATACATCAATGGTACGAGATTCTAGGGTTCTAGCCAGGGAAGCCTGTTGACGGATTTGACATAGGGTGCGTACGTTGAAGGCTCCAATGTGTAGTTTGGAGCGAGGTTTCAGTATCCCTGGGACAGTGTTTTGAGCACTAGAATCGTTGGCTATGGTGACATTTGAGGAGGAAGCCGAAAAAGGGAGTTTAGAGGTGAAAGTCGGTGTAGGAGGAATAATAGAAAGTGAAGACGGAGGTTGACTGTGAATACAGTGGTCTTGAGTGCTGTTAGAGGTATGAGGGCGGTTATCACTTCCCGGTCGCCCACACCGTGGAAGGGTTGTTCTGAAGGTACCTGAAAAGGAAATTGGATTAGAGGTGGTCTTAGTGACCTGGGAGCTTGACCGCAGTACCCAAGGGACAACTGCTTGAGGTCGGTCACACACGCAATTTTTGTGTTAGCTCCGTACTTGTTGAGACCTTACCGCCCGAGACGGATATACGTGGGATAAGGCGAGGTGTGTATTTTTAGAGTCGACCTTTTCTAACCCCACCCCTCCTTGTGGGAAGGCAGCATCGCTGTCATGCTGGTTGTCTGAAGGAAACACCTTACTGCTGTCACACCTCTGTACAGTCAGCAGTACGACTTCGCCTTCGGACCTTGTGTTTGTTGCTTTTAGTCTTACCGCTCTTCAACCGACCTGTCTGACATGGTAGGACCTTGAGGAACGGTTGTTTCAGCCAGTATGGCTCGGTTGCTTCATCACGATAGGGAAGCCAGGCCTCCACGTCAAGGTAGCAACAACGGTCGGGAGGTCCACTTATCGACTTAGAATACGCAGATGATATAGTCCTGTTTAGTGAAGACGCTGAAAAAATACAGTCTTTTGGTAGCACTGGGCAACAATGACAGAATGTTTGGGATGCGTTTCTCCACATCCAACTGCAAGTTGTTGCTTCAGGACTAGCCTGCGTCGACATCTGAACTAAGGAGAGGGAGTGAAGTAGTCAAAGACGTTAGCAACTTCACCTATCTTGGAAGTCTGATCAGCCATAATGGGTAGGTGTCTGACGAAATCTCAGCACGGATTTGAGGAGCTCGTTTGGCTTTTGCCAACTTACGTCACCTACGGAGAAGGCGAGATATCCATCTATCAATTAAAGTACGAGTATACTGCGCGGCAGTTCGTTCTGTTCTACTTTTCGGCTGGGAAACGTGGCCATTAAGAGTAGGAGATACTCGTAAGCTACTAGTATTTGACCACAGTAATAGTGAGGTTAGACGCAGGGTATTAGGGAATGATGGAGAATCAGTTAATGAGGTTATGAATCTTCATCGACTGAGATGGTTGGGCCACGTGTTACGTATGCCCGAACACCGATTACTACGACGTGCAATGCTAACCGGTGTTCGGGATAGTTGGAAGAAAGTTAGGGGCGGCCAAACCAAAACTTAGTATCAGTGCTTGAAGACACGAACTTCTGGTCTGAGCTATGTTGGTAGATGCAGACTACTTGGTTGGGGTCCGCGTGACTTTCGTAACCAATGGTTGGAGACTGTGAGTGACATGGCTCAGAATCGATCACAATGGCGTCGGTGTATACACTCCCTGTCTTCCCTTAAACTAAGAGATTAAAATCACTTCATATCTTTCTTTCTACGAACTAATTCTTTCTTCGTGTACTATATCCTTATTACAATCTTTATTTCATATATTACCACCTCTGAATTAACTACTTTTATGAATCCGGTGTTCATCTTGTTGTGTTAATGAGGTATGGAAACTTGGACCGATGCATATATGTGCCTGGTCCTACGTTGTAGCTGACTGACTGACAATCAATTGGTCATCCACTGAAACGGTATCACTTTGTACATGATTTGTTAATAATTTTGTAGGATAGTAATAAATTAACTAGATAAACAACAAGCAATAGACTTTTAAAAAATAAAACAAAAGCCTATTAATCTCCTACCTTTATTGTTCTGGTCATTCATTATGCTTAGATCGGCTTCCATTTTTAAATAAGATTCACTAGTCGAATTACTTCTCGAGACGATAAAAATTTCTTAATATCTTCAAATAATAAGTATAGCAATGGAGGAATAGAAGGAGATGGAGAGAGAGAAAGACAGAATAAGAAAACATCACAGAAATAAGTAAATACTTGAAAGGTCAATAAACAACTGATATGAGCACTTTGAAATATCAATTGGATAGATTAATATTTTCACATTTCAATTTATTTTATAAGTAAATTATAAGTAGTAAATAATTAGACAAATAGTAGTGATAAATAATTCTGTTTTTTGAGATTAATTAACTTGAGTTTCAATTTGTTATTGTATGGATTTAGAGAATTTGTGTATGAACAAAAATGCTTGAACAACAAAATATTAGTAGTAATTGGATAGGTAAGAATGATTAGAAGTATATTGATTTTTTGTTTGATTTTATTAATTAGATGAAGCTAAGATAGATTTACTATGTTAAAGAAGTATGCCATAACATAAATATTTAGTTATTTTATATTGGAAATTTCACCAAACAAATATTTGCAGTAAAGAAGAGAAAATAAAAAAAAATGAAAAACTGATCAAGCAGCAATAACATTATTCTTTGTAGTTTGGAAAAAATTGATTAAAAGATACAACATTTATAATTAGTAATAATACGTTAGTTATAAATAAGACAGTTCTACTGGAAAATTCTTTTATAAATCACCAAAAATTCCAGCAAATGTTTTGCGTAGGTTTTTCATAGTATCATCTGTATCTTCAGTGCTTGGTCCGGTACGTAATGATGTTTGTCTTGGTGGGACATTTGGACGATCAAGTCCACTAGTTGTTTGACCTGTTGGTTTTCTACTTACATCATTACCAAGTTTTTCAGTACTATATGGTACATTAGAGCTAAATAAAAAATCAGCATAAAAGGAATAAACACTTATTTTCATAGAAAATATTGTCAATTAGCAAAGAACATATGATTTATTTAGCAGAGTGGATGCCATAAACTGTACATAAGTCTTTATATTTTGGATACAATTACGGTGGTTTTTCAGCAGAGATGGATAGTGGCCAGCAGTGGAATCCAGGAAGAATGTATCATACCATGCCAAAAGAAACTGATCAATTGCAGTCCTAAAAATCAACGGGAAGATCCAAACAACCAGTATAAATGAATTACGGTAGTTGTTTGTATCCAACTATATTCTACAGGTAAGCACTTAGTTAAAATGACTTTGAGTGGTTATAATCTAGCGTTTGATGTATATCCATTTCTGATGACTTTTCGTTTCAAAAGCTGAAAGGTAGTTGATTATAACTGCACCATCTGGTATAAGCTTCTTCGACATAAAGCACGTATTAAAGTCTTGATGTTTTATTCTAATATAACTGTATTCGAGGCAACATCACTGTTATCAGTCACACGACTGCTTTTTGGGACTTCTG